TGGTGGGGCTTCCGGGTGGCAGGCTTGCCCGCCTCCTCTGAGCCTGTTCCATCACATTGTAGGACAGACGGAACGTGGCAGAGTGCCACAAGTCGCTCCCTGCCCCACTTCCTCCTGAAGGTTTGCGGGATGACCTCTGACTAATGCCTGCTGAGGCAGGAGACTTGCCCTTGACGGTCACCTGTGACTGGCCTAGGGTAGAGCTAGGTGGTGGGGAGGGTGCCCCCTCTGCTGCCTGCAACCCTGGGCCTGTGTGGGGTGTGCTTACCTGCTCGGAGAGCCCACTCTTGCAGTGGGCTCCACCTTGGCGTTTCCCCCCACCCCTGACTGGCTGCGGCAGGTGCCCTCTGCTGAACAGGGCCTGGTCCTCGAGCAGCCTGAGGGCCCAGGGCACGGGTGGCGGCTGTGGCCCGTCTCCCATGCGGTGCTCATCCTCCGCTGGCCCTGAGGATGGTAGGAGGGCAGGAGGAGCAGGCCGGAGGGGTTTTCTTTCGGAACTGGGGGGACCCCTGGAGATGTCAGTGCCGGTGGCTAGCTGGTGCTCGCGCTGCTCCTGACCTGGCCGGGCCTGGGCCTGGGCTGCCTTCGCCAGTGTCCCTTCCCCATGCTCTCGTGAGCAGCGAGGTGGTGTCTGATGGGGGCTGGGGGCGGGGACTATGGGTGAGGCTCTCTGGTTGCTGTGCCGAGGCCGAGGGATAGGCCCGCTTTTCCAGGAAGTGTTCCCTGACCACTTTACCCTCCCTTGAGCTCGCCCTCCTGCGAACTTCTAGAGGCCAGAGTCCAAGCAGTGTGTCTGTGGGTTCTTCCCTGGCCAACTTCGGGCAGCCCCCGGGCCCCCTCAGTGTCAGGCTCTGGACCAGGCAGAGGAGAAAGCGGCACCAGACTGCTTTCAGAGTACCCTGTCTGGGGGACGGGGAACGAGACAGTCTCGGGGGTGGTAGACCAGCCGTGACTGGAGGGCCACCATGGAAACTTTGCTAGCAGCCTTCTGCTCCAGTAGGCCCGTGTGCCCCTTTGCCCCATGGTGTCCTCTCCTTTGCCTCTGGCTGTGGTAGGCCATGGTGCACCACAGTCCTGGGCTGATTCCTTCCCTTACCTGCCTCCCACTAGATTGCCAGACCCTGTGTCCTGAGCCCCTACCACAGAGGCAGACTCCGGAGTAAATGGGGACTGCCCACTGCTCTCAGGGTCCCAGCCGAGCAGCCCCGACTTCCGTGGACTTCTTTTTGAATGATGTCGATGTTTCCTGAGTCTTCGGTGGCATTGTGGCAGGTGGCTCGTAGACCATTTGGGAAAAGGTGCCGAAGCCTGGGCCGAGGCCTGGCCGTGGTGGGGGGAGTGGAGATGGTAAGGAGCTGGGGTGAGCCCAGGGTAGCGAGCAGAGCGGGCCTGAGGGTGACGCTAAGCTGTGGGCTCCAATCTGTGGGTGCGGAGGCAGAGACTGTCGATGGAGGAGTCAACAGGGCAGGGCGTAATGGGAGGGCCTGGGACACGGCCCACGTGCCTCGGGGCCGTGCCGAGTCCCGCGGGCAGGCACCTCCGCGTGCCAGCACAGGCCTGGGTTGAGTTGCAGTCGGGCCTGCTCAGCCAGTGCTCCCTTCTGAGCTCTGTGGGGACCTGCCCCATCCAGGTTCTCGGTGACCACCGCAACATGGCTGGTGGCGGCATCACGAGCCAGAGGCCCCCTTCCCCCCGGCCGTGTAGTTGAGCGCTAAAGCCCCTCCTCCGTAAGGGGACCGTGCCTTGCCGAAGAGCAGGCACCGGCCCGGGAGGGACTGCGGCGGGAAGCAAGCCGGTACTTCCCTCTGAGGGGCCGCCGCCCCTCCGCAGGCCGGCCTCCGGCGTGAGCACCAGGCTTCCCAACCTTGACCCACCATCCTACTTTGTCTGTGAACGTGACTGTGTACCTCACAGAAGCCGTCTCCTGCAGTGTCTTTGTGTCTGGTTTCTCTCCCTCAGCATAAGGTCTTCGAGGTTCAGCCACGTTGTAGCAGGTATCGACTTCTCACTTTTTTTAAAGTTTTTATTTATCTAAGTAATCTCTACCCCCAATGTGGGACTTGAACTCATGACCCCGAGATCAATAGTTACATGCTGTTCTGACTGAGCCAGCCAGGCGCCCCAATTTTCTTTTCTTTTTTAAGACTGAATAATATTCTGTTGTATGGAACGGCCACATTTTGTTCATCCATTTCCTCCCATCAGGGGACACTTGGGTTGTTGCTTCCACCCTTCTTACTTTTTTTGTTTTTAATGTTTGTTTAGTTGTGAGAGAGAGAGAATGTGAGCGGGGGAGAGGCAGAGAGAGGGAGACAGTGTGAGCGGAGAAAGGGCAGAGAGAGGGAGACACAGAACCCGAAGTAGGCTCCAGGCTCTGAGCTGTCAGTACAGAGCCCGATGCGGGGCTCGAACTCACGAGCTGTGAGGTCTTGACCTGAGCTGAAGTCAGATGCTTAACCGACTGAGCCACCCAGGTGTCCCCCTGCCCCTTCTTTCTTAATCCCACGCCAATCAGGCTTCTGCATGTCCCTGTATGCCCGACCCTGTCTTGTGCAGATCTCCAGGATGCTGTCACACGCAGTGAGCATTCTAGGGCCTCATCGCCCTGGACCATCAGCAGCACCCCGGGGAGCTGATCACCTCCCGCCCTAGGTGTGTGTGTGTGTGTGAGAGACTCCTGATCCAGGAGGCCACCCTGCGCTTGGGGTCCCTCCCTCCCCCCTGGCCACCCCTTCTCAGTCTCTGCTGCCAGTTCCCTCTCTTCTCTGCCACCTCTAGGGTGTCCCAGGACCCCAGGGCTCGGTGCGTGGGCCGCTTGTCCCTCTACACAGCTCTCGGCCGCCCTTGGCGAGCTGGTGCAGCTTCAGGGCTTTCTGGCCCATCTCTGTGTGCTGAGAGCCTCCAATGTTCTCTCTCCAGTCCAGACTCTTTCTGGAACTGCAGATTCCTTGTCCACCTGCTGATGAGACACTCCCACTGAGGCGACATCTCTGGCACAGTAGGCCCACAGTCAGTGGCCACCGCCACCTCCAGACCTTCTCTCCCGCATCTCCCTGGGTGCAGGGAGGGCCTGGCAGTGCTGCCCTTCCCGGTGCTCAAGTGCTCAGGCTCACGGCGTCTCCCTGGCTCCTCTCGACCCTGCGTCCCAACCGCCCGCAGCCCTGTTGCGGACGGCCTCGCAGTCCTTGCAGACAAGACAGGCCCCCAGTATGCTGCTCGTGCCCCGTCCGGCTTCCTGGGCTCTGCTGCAGCCTTGTCCCTAGCCTCCTTCCTAGCAGCCCCACCCGCCTGTCCCTCGGGAGGTGACCTGCTCTGTTGGGTGCAGTGTGTGTTTGGGCCGTCTTGGGGAATCTCCGCGCTGGCCACTTCCCACCCACCTTCCCTGCTCTTGGCCTTCCTCTCCAGTTACCCTTTCTCCCGGCTTTGTCACCTTCTCTACCCCTATTCCTGGAACAGCGCCGGGCGCAGACCCTCACAACGAATACTCGCCCGAGGAAGCAGCTCGAGGTGGGAAGGCTCCCCCCGCTTGCAGCCCCAGCACCTCTGACCCGACCCCACTACCCCTCGCGACAAGCAGAGGTGGAACCAGAGCCGGCTTTGGAAAATGACATGTTTTATTGCTATGTTTGCAGTGGCTTTTTAGCACAGTAAGAATGTCCCCGCCGGACCCCCGCCCTCACCCAGTCCCACCCCTCCGACCGACGTCGGGGTGGCGCGGGGTGGGGGAAGCCTTTCTAGGGTCCGCTCGGCTGTCTCGGAATCGGACGTGACACACACGTGGGTTAATTAAAGCTGCTACATGGAAGACTTGAGCCGTGGAAAGTGCATCAGCCTTAAGCTCGCAGGTGGGAGCCGTGCCCGGGGTCCCTTCCCTGGCCGGTGCCCACCTCAGATCCCTGCAGTGGCGCCCGGCCCAGGGGGCAGGGCGGGGGCGAGCCTGAGCGCTCCAGGTGAGCAGCCCCAGATCCCCCAGGGGTCAGGATGCCGCCTCCGCTCACCCCGCCGCCTCGCCTCGCGGGCAGAGGGGGTGCGGGGATGCTCCGGCCCCCCCACGCCCACCCCCCGCGGCCATGCACTCCTCCACCCGGTCTGGGGCCGGGCGCTACACATGCACACCCACACGACAGACTCGCGCGCTCAACAGCTTGAAGCTTTTGCCTATGAAAATTAGATCTATAAATTCACACTCCTTGGCTGGGGCAGAGGACTTAAGGGGTGCTGAGAGGGGCAGGGAGCGGCAAGGAGAGGGACGCTGGGCGGTTTTCTCTTTAGAAATATACAAGCAGAAATCTCTTTTCCTCAAGTTTTTATAAAATGTGCAAAATACAAGCCTCGTTAGCCCACAGGCACAGTTTACACCTGGTAGTCACCTTTGCTAAGAGATCTAGGTTTATCCTACATACTCACGCACACATGCATTCGTACACAAGCTCACACAACTGATATTGGTGGCAATTGGCGCGGGAACCGGAAGGTTCCCTTGCTGGCTGGCTCTCTAAGCTTCTAGGATAGGGACTGGGACCGGGAGAGGGGGTCTAGCCCGGCTGAAATACTCGCCCTGGTTCCGCAGCCCCTCCCCCACCTCCCTCCTCCCCTCTCCTGTCCTGTCCCCCAAGCAGCCGCCGCTGCCTCCTCTAGGGGCCACCCTGGGGTGTGCAGGGCAGAGCCCGGAGAGGCAGGCGCACTTGGGGGCCGGTGAGGCGCATCTGCGGCGGGCACTAGGGGGAGGGCGGTGGGCAGGGCCTAGGAAGCAGCGTGTGTACCAGCTTGGGTGGGGGGGTGGGGAGGCATCTATTTTTGGTGGGTTGTGATATTTTTGGCGTTTTATTAAAAATGGAAAAAAAGTTATTTTAGTTAGCACTCGTGGTGCTTCCCCCCCCTCCCCAGGCAGACCCCCAAAAGTGTCAGGGAAAGGCAAGCCCCCGGGAGGGGTTGGGGGCCGAAGCAGGGGCTGCTATGGCTACAAGAGGGTGAGCTGGTGATGTGAGCCGGGGTGCCTGTCACATGACGCTCTCTACCACCACCACTTTGCTGCTCTCGGACACTGGGGTCAGGGTGGTCAGGCCCCTGACATCGGAGTCCTGAGCTCTATACTCCAAGTGGTGGAGGCCCCAGACAGGCTGCGTCAGGTGCTGCCAGCGCTGCAGGAGAGAGGGACACGTTCAAGTCCCCGGGCGGGGCGCATATGCTTTTTTCCCTTGGTCTCTCTCCACTTCCCACCACCTGCCACGGGTGGGGGTCCGGGGCCCCTCCCACAGGCACTGACCACACCC